GGGGATAAAGGTTCCTCGATTGCTGTTTGAAGGTGTCTCTTTTGCTGTTTGGTGCTTTTTGTGAATCTAAGCGTGCCTCTTTCTTGTGCTCAGGGATCAGTGGGCACGAATTGGGCCTTCCTTGAGATGGAAGCACTCTTGCTGTCATGCTGCATGAATTCAAACTAGAGCGATTTGTAAGGAGACGATGGAGTAATGAAAATACACCGGTTTCCAGTTTTCAGCACACCAGATCGTTCTGTTTCTTTCTTTTGTCCGCTCTCGGTTCACCCGAAGAGCAATATGATTATGCCTTAGGTAAAAAATACACCACACTTGAAGTATACCTAATGTTGGAACGAGTTTGTTGAAAATGACGCCTTCTATAAAAAACATAGCTTTCACAGTAGGCTACATGATGATGATCTACTCTCTGTTGGGCGTCTGGCCGTTGACTAGTTCAGTTTAAATGACAATCAATCCCGTTTCACCATGGCTCCAAATCCAAATGCGTTCACAACGAGACATTTAGTTCACACCATAGAGTTATCTCCTTTTAAACCTACAGTGTACACATCTATGATGGTTCGCATTGATACGAGAGGCACTGGTGTAGGCCTACGGTGCAATCGAAAGAGGCGGGCGGGAAAATTACGAAAATTTGAATGACGACGGACAAAGTTGAAACAAGAGATATTATTATTAAAATAATATTTATCTAGATCTAGTATACATTTTGGTTTAGAGAGGATTGCTAAAATGGGGATGATCGCCGGCAGTCAAAAGTTGGGAATGCTGCACTTGTGGCAAATTACAGTTTTTGACAGGGTTTTTTTTCCTCATCTACTTCTTTCAGTAACTGCAATTTGAGCTGACGGCAGGAAGCTCTGTCCTTTCTCTTCGACTTTGTCAGCTTTCTAAATTCGCCGAACAGTCACACAGAACAGACGAAAAGAGTAGGCCTACATAGGCCTAATCAAGATAGGCCTAGAAAAAGCAAGAAGAAAAGCCCAATGTATGATGAAAACACAACCGCGCTCTTGGCCGAGGTGAACTAGCTTGGAAAAAAGTTGAAAGACAATGGACCATGACCACCATGACCAACTGAAGGTCGCGCGTTGACGTACATTCCCTGTCCTTGCTTCACTGGACATATAGTATACATAGCGTGTAAGTGAACCTGTTGGTGTGTGTAGTAAACGCAATCAATTAAAAGTACTGACATTGGCTTACCGTACTCCCTGGCCTGCAATCGACACACGCGTGTGCTCGTGTCTCTTTTTTTCTGTTTCGTGCTCTTGAAACACGGAAAGAATTAGGCCCTACTTATTGATGATTTCTGTTACTTATTTGACATGAGGGTTGCTTGAGAAGAAGTAGTACAGAGCAACCAAAAAAATCTGGTTCCGCCGGCTCTACTTATCTTTACGCCACGCCGTCAAGCGTGGAAGAGGGGAGAGGGGGGGGGGGGGTATACTATTTTTGAGGTGGCTGTTACTGTTACCCAATGCCTACAGAGTGATAAGTACACGTATACCTACACTGCAGGTATTCCCATAACCTAATGCCTAATGTATAAACATCGGATATTCCCCCATCATGACCTGCTGTCTCTATAACATTAATCCCTTGACATGGGACCGCTTAGGAATCATAGAGAGCAGCAAATACACGAGGCTTATGTGTTTTTTTTAAAATTGAATGGTGAAGAGAGAGAGAGAGAGAGAGAGAGATAGAGAGAGAGAGAGAGAGAGAGAGAGAGAGAGAGAGAGAGAGAGATCGAAGCCCGCAAACAGCGCACATTCACACGTGATAGAAGCTTTTATTTAATACTCAAAATGTGGATTAAACTCTTGATTCCTGCCAGAATTGGTCTCATTAGCCATAGCAGATGCCACATACAAATCTTCTTATATATATATTTCCCCCTTCTTTTTCTCTTTAAGAAATAAAAGTAGTCTCATTTGCAGATACTGGCAGCGGGCTCTATCGTGGCTTAGAGGTCAAGGTGTTGGCCTCCCATTCAAAGGTCCCGGGTTCGAATCCGGGTAGCGATGGAAACATTTTCTTCTCTAAAATTATCTCCTTTCACCTCCCTTCCTGCTCTCTAGCAATGTTCTGTCGTCTCGTCTGCTTTCGTCTCCTCTCTTTACCCCCCCCCCCCCCCCCCCCATGAGCTCCTTGCCCCTCCTCTGTGATCCTGACTCTTTCTGCAGCTTCTACTGCTACTGCTTGGCTCCTTTTTACTGCTATCTTTCAGCCACACCCCTGATTTTCTGGTAGGAAAGATCTACACCTAGCCTTCTCGGACAAGGGCGAAAAAACTCCGAGGGCCCGTATGCAAGTTGCGCACGTTTTACCTCGGTGGTCTAAAATCGATAAGAGTAGGCTTCGGCCGCCACCCGGGCAAAATTCAAAATTTACTACCAACTGAAAAAGTTTAATGCGTCCCGCACGCTGATATATGGCCTTATGCTGTTGGGAGCGCCGTAAAATACTTATCAAAACAAAAAAAAAAGATAGTAAGCTGAGGTCACCTTCAGGATGGGCGATTTATTTTTATTGTTATTATTATTGTTATTAATATTATTGTTGTTGTTGTTATTGTTATTATTATTGTTATTGTTATTATTATTATTATTATTATTATTATTATTATTATTATTATTATTATTATTATTATTGATAATTACTACAATGTTATCATTATTATTAATAATTTCTCTGTTACTTTATTATGCCTATCTTGTGTGTGTGCGTGAGTGTTGTTACTTTGGAAAACCATTTCTCCCACCGAGATGCAAGATATCATTGTCATTGTCATTGTGAAACCGTTTCATAGTCTTTCCTATTCTAATCGTTTTTTTCCCCCTTCGCGCTCTCCTGGAGTGAACTATCGTACCTGGTACTCTCAAAATATCACCACCTGACACGAGCTATAAGTATCATGTTATCTTTGGGTTTGCCTGGGGCTTCATATTGTGCAATATTATTATAATTATTCGTCACCCTCACGAGATATTTGAAGAGAACGTCAATGAATCTGGCAAATCGTTACACATGCACAAACACTGATACGAACAGCACGGACTTTTAACTTTTTAATCAGATGAGAGTAATAAGTCCTCATTCCAGAAGATCCCATGTCAGCTTATTATGCTAGGCCTAGGCCTAAGACATTAATCATCTCCTCTAAATAGTAAAGTTGACCTAGTCCTAGAAAGTAGGACCAATGTGTTAAGGTCTTGTTGGCCTATTCAGTTGTTATGAAATCAAGTAATCAAGGTTCATGAATTTGCAAAGCTTCTTCGTTTTTTTTCCAGCATATTTTGCGCATAACTGCTTGCCGAATATTCCCGTAAAAACCCTTTTTTAAGCAAAACTCTTGAAAATATCATCTGTTTGTAAATTGTGTCCAGAGATAAATTAATGCAACCCAATAGCCTAATAATGACATTTCATTGAAGCGCAGCATTGGGGGACAGGCAGGGTTAGGCCTAAAACAAATCGGGAACAGCCTGACTTTGGTAAGAAACAGGAAAGGATCAGCCTGCTGGTTACGTCATAGGTCACATGATCAGTAATGGTGGCCGTCTCCCTGTTAGTTTGTTGACACACGGGAGAAGTAAAAGAATTGGGTGTGACTGAATTCAGTGACTCAGTTGGTTAATTCTACAAGTTTATCAACAGTGATCGTGGATATTATCAGCAGGAGGTAACAATAATTTATTTTATCATTGCGTTTTCTCTTTAGATTCGCCATAGATTCCCCATGAAGTCAGACCCGTCTGGTCCAGGACTCGGCGACTCTCCAACAAAACAAACATTTCTGACTGACAACACTTACACAGTTACTTTAAAGGCCTCCATTACTTTTTTGAGGGAGCGAGTGGGGTTTGAGAGATGGGGTGGGGCGGGTAGTTGCAGTTTTCTTCAAGTGACATTGTGAAGAGTTTATAGATCTGTTATATTTGATTCGAATATTGTGTTTGAATAATTTGTGTTTGAAGCGTGCGGTTGAGTTGCACTGTCACTATTCTATTCTAGATCTACTACTTTAGGCCGTCGTCGAGTCCGAATAACATTTTTTCATATTCGGACTCGGGTCCGAATAATACAAATTCTTATTCGGACTCGAGTCCGAATATGAAAAAATGTTATTCGGACTCGGGTAGTGTCTTCGTTCTATAGATCTAACGTTCAGTGCTTCCAATTTTCCGCCATTTTTTAGTTTCCCCCACACTTTATCTGCCGATTTAATGCCCGCCGCCTCATTGATACGCCCCCCCTCCCCACCACGTTTCCTACTTTCTTTGTTGTAGAAAAAGGTAAAATTGAAGATTAGCAGACCACCTGGCACCTGCATATTATGAGCTGTGTAAAAAAAAAAAAAGACCGATTCGTTCAAATACACAAGCCTGTGTCATTCGATTGTTTACCAAGAAAAAGTTGTGTTGCTGTGTAGAGCTGAGCATACGGCAACTTTTGATTCCGTAGACCAGCGCACAATTCCTTACGTAGATCTAGGTCAAGACTAGCTTATTATTGTAATAATGATCAGTTGCCGGGGGGAAAAAGACTGACGCGTATGCGTATGCGACGTTCAAAGCCCGGACCGAGGTGAGAGGTCGATCGTATTTCTATTCTCACCTCGGGTGAGAATAGCCACTTCCTTTCGGAATACTATCTATCGGTGTGGATGATCAAATTGATAAAAGCCAAGAAAAAATTACGTTATAATAGCACAAAACTTTAAGCTAATTTGATCGTCTTCATAGATGCTATGGCTATTTCACTTTTCGAATCGAGCCGAACTACGCGGGTCGCCATTTTGTTTTGCCCGGAAGTTCTCGTAAGATCTACTCCTCTCCTCTCTCTCTCTCTCTGTGTCACTTTCTGAATACACTGTCTATCGGTGTGGACAATCAAATTGACCAAAACAAAGTTAAAAATGATGTTAAAAAACAAAACTAAATTAATTTGGTCGTCTACAAAGATGCTACGCCTAAACTTTCCGAATCGAGCCGAACTACGCAGGTCGCCATTTTGTTTTGCCCAGAAGTTCTCGCGCTTCTCTCTCTCTCTCTTTCTCTCTCTCTCTCTTTCTCTCTCTCTCTCTTTCTCTCTCTCCACTGCCCACAGACAAAATTGCACGCTTTTAGGCTAACAACTAACACTAACAGTAATATCTAGAACGTTTGTTCATGACACAGAATTCTACAATTCCGTTATCACAGTGTAGAATTCTGTGGTTCAGGGTGAACACTTCACTGGTTGGCCTAGGCTATAACGGTGAACGCCCACCGGGTGAAAATAGCCAAAAGACTCGTCTGCGCTATTCTCACCCGGGATGAGAATAGAGGTGGCCATTTTCGAAGTGACTATTTCTCTGATCCGGATCGTTCGGGTTCCGGAAAATAAACTTGACCTCTGTTTCTCCTTTAACGGTTTCTGTTCTCGAGATTTTTTGGTTATTTTTTTTGCGAGAGTTTGGTGTCATCTTTCATTCTGCCATTTTGCAAGGACTGGGAAATCTGAGGCAGTTTTTGCATCGGGTTCAATTTCTAGAACTTTTGAGATTTTTAGATGTCTGAATATTCAGCTTCAATTGTGGTTTGGGCAAAGTTCCAGGACTAGCCTATTTGAAAATGCCTTCACGAGGTACTTCGAGAAAACAAGACTGCTCGACTTTGACAGGACCTAATTTTGCATTTAGTCACCCCTAAAGCAAAAACCTTAAAAAAAAAAATCCCTCCACGCCCCATGCCCATTCACACCTTAGGCGCCTACACACACACACACACACACACACATGCGCATGCGTGTGCGCACTCACACACACACACACACACACACACACGCACACGCACACGCACGCGCGCGCAGGCCACGCCATTCGCAGTTAACCTAAAAATCTTGAGAGCAGAAACCATTTGGTGACATAAAGTTCAAATTTATTTTCCCGAGTGTTCGGAGAAATCTAGATCCGGCGTTATATTTTCATCTTGCTCTCTACATTACACTTTTCTTAGATCTACTTGTACTTTTACTTTCTTAGATCTACTTGACTTACCAAATTCAGTCTTGTCCAATGATGAATACTGCAGCCTCTCTCTCTATCTCGTGAAATATTATACGATTTACTTCTTTGGTTTGCCCATTGCGGACAACATTGGATGGAATTTAATTACTACTAAGGTCCAACAAGGAGCACCGATTAGTGTAATGGAGGAGTTCTGTAGAGAGGGCCGTCCCTTACAGCTGACAAGGTCGACTGAGGAAATTATACACACAAGAGTTACGGTATGGTTTATAAGTAAGTATTTTTAAGGATATAGGGTTTAGGAGTTGTTGGTCGGCCGGCCCTCTGCGGAATTTCTTCCATAATAAGAGCCTGAAGAGGTTAGGAAAGCCTACATTATTCAAGTTCACTCCTGCTGATTTAATTAAACTTTTTCATTAGAGGTAGCTAGGCCCTGCTATCTTTATACTTATTTGTTACTATATTGATCTATGACAGTGTTTTTGTGGGTTATTATGTCGTAGGATAGCAAATTGTATGCTAAAGGGGGAGGGAATACAGTAGTCTTCGTCTAAGATCCCGGTGCTCGGGAGCAAGGAAAATGTGAGATCTTCAGCTAACGGGATCTTAGCTGAAGAATCTACGGTGAGCATGTTAAAAAAAAGCCAATTTATAACCGAAAATGGTCTTCCTGCACTTTTAAACTGAACCGACGTTACCCCTGGGGTGCTTATTTTCCGAAACCTACTGAAACCATCCTAAACTTAAAATTGAAACCGTTCAAAACCTACCAACAGGAAGAGTACAATCTTGAATACATGATGATACTCTAGCTCGCATATATTGAAGCTTGTCTCGACGGAATCTGTGAGAATTAGTGAGTGAATAAGTGCAGATATTTCAGAGAAGCCGTGGTATCCTTGAGTGAACTATTTCTGTGTGTGTGGGTGGTTTTTTTTTTTCTTTTATCTTTTTTTCAACTATTCAGAGTTTACATGTCCCCAGTAACTCTGGTCCTGCGCGTCTAATTGGAACAGCGTTCTTATGGATCGATGACCCACTTCCATCGCCTGTGAACACGTACCACGGGAGTCAATAGTGAAAGAGAACAAGAATGAAAGCACGCGTCGTCATCTTTTACTTGATACGATCTATAATTATAAGTGTTACGACCACCTGAATAATCCCCTCATCTGCTCGTCGGTTGATCAGACGCTTAGATTGGACGTTGTAACAGAAATCGAATATAATAACCTCCAGAGTTTTCCAGATTTCACACCATGGTTTTAGTAGGTTTCAGAGTCAGATGGTTCCGGTAGGTTTCGGACAAAAGAAACACACCGACTCTTGGGTGGGTTTATGACATGTGGCGATCAAAGATTTAGATTGGTCAACCTTGATTACCAATCACAGCAGTGACATGATAAATATTTTTAAAATTCCATTTTCACTATAATATAATAACTATTATCACTGTGAGTCTCAAGAGCAATGCTTATCTAGTTGCTCCTCCCCTTTACCTGTCATAAATTTATAGCTTTCCATCTGTGACCGAGTTCCCCTGCCTTTATCGTTACGCTTCATTACCTTGTGACCACACCGGTTAAAATTCAGTCTGTCTCGCAAACTTGGGAGTAGAGACAACGAATTGTTGCAACGGTCAGGGAAGAGTTCACAGTTTGATGTGCTGACCCTTCCTGGAGTCAACTTGCAGACCCTACCCACCCAGCATGTGATGTAAGTTTAGGTGAAGAGTTGAGATGCAAGTGAGATGTTCGGAGAAAACAAAGGCGTCTGCGAGTCCACACCTCAAAGTGATCCCGTCTGGGGCAAAAGTTGTACTGTTTCATTGAGTTTTACAAGGCACTTAAATAAATGTGATCGCATTCACGAAAGTGACTGTTTAGAATTATATCTCAACTGTTCGTTCTTGGTTGATTGGCTGCGCCTACTGGGGTTTTAGTTCGATGATCTGAAATGCGGGATCTTAGCGGAATGTAGACTTTCAGAGTGAATGAGAGCAAGATCTTAGGGGTGACTTTTGTGTAGTAAAAATTCTGCTTTCTTAAAACAGCAGGATCTTAAGCGCACCAGGATCGTAATTTGTGGGATCTAGGAGACTACTAGTTGATTAAAATAAATGAATTTGGGTCGCTTGAGTTCCATGGACAATGCTGTCGGTGGCAATGGGTAGTGAAGGGCTCCTGGGCTTGAGCCCCCCTCCCCACCCCCTGGCTCTATCCCAAAGTAAATGAAAGTTACTTAGTTTGAATTAAAGAAATAAGCAGTTGATACCGTTATGGTTATGATTGCATGCAATGAACACAAAGTGATCAACGTGGCGGCTTGCCCTTTTATGCAATCACAATCACTGTTTGTCACTGAACTATAGTAACCAAACAGCCAATCAAGTGCATAATATAAATTTAGGGCTCAGCAAAGAATGAGCCTGTTCCCATAGCTCTTCTTTAATCAAATATGCTTTGTACTAAAAAGATTGAAGGCTTAAAAAAAGAATATTATACTGAGGGTTCATATTATGCTCTCCTAGCCCTGACAATGGGATGGTGAAAGTGAAGAGACCTACAGACAGCTCCTGCTGTTGCATTTTAACTGATCCTATCCTTGTACTAAGTTCTGATACTTTTAGCAGTTGTGCCAGATTGGTTAACTTGAAAGCACTGGACCTAGGGCCTAAGGTTTGAGGGTAGGTTTGGACAAATGGATGACTTCTGACCCCTTGCTGGAGTGCCACACCCACTCAAAAGTTTGTTCAGTTTCATCACTGCTGTCAGCTTTATCACCACTGTCACCAGACTGTTAAAAGCTATTTTTAAAGGCTGAGCGACTGACAATATTTATCAAAATTCATATTGTGCATTGTGTGTTATTCAGTTGCTTCATTGAGAAATAGTTTTTATTTTATCATTATGTTCCTATGATGACCTGTCTAACACTGCTGTGGCCACTATATTTTATCACAACCAACACCCCCAAAAATCTGTGTCTAAGATGGCCATGCTAATCTCTCATGGCCCGATGCTGTGTCATTACACATCAGCCCTTTAATGCTGTGGACAAGCCACCACAATCTGTTGTAATAGTCACTCTAATGAACTGATCATGTGCCCCTGTCTTCCCCACTGTTTGCCCAAGTAGACTGGTCCGTACCAATTTTCAGCTGCTGGTGAGGGAGGCGTGTGATCTGTCGTTGCCTTAACCTATAAGCCCCACTCACAACTTAACAGAAGGGAGATGGGCTGAGCAGTGTGGCAATTTACCCATTTTGTAACAAAGTACATTAGCTTTAAATAACTGACAACAGAAGCGTTGCTCGGTTGATGGGTGGCGACCTATTTGTTTACAATGGCATTGTTTCTTGTTTCACTCATTTCGTTTAAAATTGTTTCACTCTTGCATGAAACCAACACAAAAAAAATCCCCTAACAAACAAACTCCCCCCCACAAAAAACAACCCAACTTCCTATACAACCCCAAAGTGCAAAGTGCAAGCATCTTACTGCCTACAAAAATCACTGTGCCAATGGATTAGACAGTGACATGCATATATCTCTTTGATTTTGATTTTTTTTAAAGGATGCATAAGGGAATAGACTTTCTCGGTTTTCATTTTTCTTTAATGGAAAAAATAAAGCTGTATACACATCAAGACTAATTATATATACTACCACTTATGTTTTTGTGTGCATTTATGATACCATTTCATCTCGTAGTCGTAGGTTCTGAATCTTTTACTTTTACATGATTTGATATATAAAATTTTTACTGATTTACAATGACAGAATTTTAAATTAATTTTATATCGCTGTCACGCTACAAATTTTTTGTTTTATCCCAAACATTTTTTCTCTCCTTCCAATGAATGCCATTTTTTGGTTTCTTTTGACAGTTTATTTTAAACATGCAGTGCTACTGACTTGATTTCCATGATGGGAGAAGCGGCCGGAGCGGCGTCTGCCACGCCTCAGTTATCCCAGCTGGTTGTCACTGGTAGGAAACCTTTCGTGGGGTGGGAAGTATATTCATTTTGAGTGATAGAGATATTATAATGAGATTTTCTGGTTAAGGTTTTAAGGTCACTGAATCAATTCGACCACTCTCTTAATGAGATTAATGGGTATGCTTGTTTGCAGTTGTGATGCTTTGTTTGAAGTGTCAATTTTGGTTGTACAAAATTTTTAAAATTACTGTCGTTCGTTTGCTCAGAAAGAGCAGCTCTTGAAGATATTATATAATTATTTTTCTGTTTGTAAACTAGTATAACAACAAGTTTGTAAGACAAAAGGTGTTTTAATTGCTATTTTTTGTGAAAATTTCATCCTCCAGCAAGCAACCTTCTTTATAACGACCACTTCTCACTTCTCCACTTTTGCTTTTTTTTTACATTATGTATTATTCCTTGACCAAGGTGTCCACCTGTCTAAGACAACCACTTCTCTCAATGACAATGAGTGGCCATCTTGGACAATTTTGGCTGTGCTTCAGTGGCTGTCATTTAAATTTGGGAGTTCCATGGATGAATATATAATGTTACTAGTGTGTATGTAGCTCATAATTTGCAAACAAGTTGTTCACCATTCTCGATGCAGTGACAGTTACTGACCTAATAATTATTTGTATATTTTTACAGTGAAATCAGCGAAGATTACAACAGTTGGAGGTCTGTTTTCATCTAAACCCGACCCCTACCTCGAACTGAGCGTTGATGGACAACCTCCTCGAAAAACAGACGTTTGTCGGAAAACACTCAGTCCCAAGTGGGACGATCATTTCACAGTGTTAGTGCCTCACAGTTCCTCCTTCTAGTTTTCATGTCCTTTTTGTAGCTGTAAATCATTGTATTTAAAAAACGTGTGCTGTGTGCCACTGACTTAAGACTCCCTGAGTTTCAATGGACAACCTCCTCGAAAGACAGATGTTTGTCGGAAAACACTTGGTCCCAAGTGGGATGATCATTTGTGTTACCTCACAGCTCCTCTTTCTGGTTTTAATGTCCTTTATGTAGCTGTAAATCATTGTATGAAAAAAAAAAAGTGTACTATGTGCCACTGACTTAAGACTCCCTGAGTTTCAATCCCCTCTTTATAACAACACACAGCTTGTTGGAAGGTGCTTTGTGTTGTAGTCAGCTTTAATTTTGTTGTTGTGTCAGTATTGTTGCAATCTTATAAAAATCTGTTCTTGGAGCAATTTGGATAATATCTTCCTAACTTAGCATAAATTTGTTTGCATCAAGGACTCTCTCTTACTCCTCTTGTTTGGTAGAATTGGTCTAGTAAGGTCTAAATGTTCCTTTCTGGCTTTAGAAGGGCAGTACACTTCACAATGAAACACTTGTTAACGCAATGCTCTTAACAGCATTTTTTTTTTTCGAGCAGTATTTTTGTTTCAGTGCTAACCAATGAAAATCCCCACGATATTGTGTTAACACTCACCCCCACCCCCGTACTTGTAAACTTTGAACGGGCTCAGTGCCTGAGATCGCTTGTACTTGTTATTTCTTAAACTGTCGTTGTCGAAGGAGAAAAAGTATGAAAGAAACATGTCAATGAATCTGTTAAAAAACTAAGGGAAGATGGTTAGGCTGAGACTGAGAATGTATTTTTTTTTTTGAGACGGGGGGAGCAAGCCTCAAGTCTATACACAAAGTAACTCCTTCTATCCCCCCCCTCCCCCCCCCCCAAAAAAAAAACAACAACCAAACCCCAAACCAAACAACAACAAAAATGGCCAACCACCCCCCTCCAAAAAAAAAAAAAAAAGAAAAAACGGGGAAAAAAATCCCAACCAAAATTTCCCCCCTCCCAAAAAAGTGAAAAAACCACAAACCCTCCGAAAGAATAAAAGTCCCCTAAAAAAGGGAAAGCTTTCTGTTAACACTTTGCTGTCACTTGGCGCAATCATGTGACTGACGGTGAAAATTATCCATTCCTGTCACTTGGCGCACCAGGCCTGAGAAGTCTGTTGCAGTCACGCTTCTGGCGGGGCGACCAGATGGGGTATCTCTTGTACTGCTGGCTGTGTGACTGCAAAGTGTTAATACATCAGAAACAATACTCATTAAAAAAATTCTTCCTTTTTGTTTCCAGCCTGGTTACTCCATACTCCAAATTGGACTTGAAGGTGCTGAGCTCCAACAGTATACGGACGGACACCATCATTGGCCAGGCAGTGCTTGACCTGCACCCTTTGCTGGATAAGGAGAATGGGAAATGTAAGTCTGGTGCTGCAGTATTCTTGTACGCATGCATGTTCATTTACTTGTAATTTGTGTGAAGATGAAGGTAATGTTTGGGTGGTTGGCTGGTGCTCTGGTGTGGTTTGCTTCTTATTTCCTATGAAACTTCTATCGTCCTTATCTCCCCTTCTTCTTTTTTATGTTTGTTGCTCTCTTGTAACACCTCTAATCTTCTGGCGCTCTTATGACCTTATGCAGTTGCGAGCGCCGTAAAACTCTACTAATACTAAACTAGAAGGTATTGTAAAACACATACAGGTGTGTTGTATGGGACTGGGCGCTATAGAAATTACCTGCATTGTTATTATTATTATTTTCCTCCTCTTCTTGGATAGTTAGGAAGACCACTATTAGGTCCTACTTCTCTTGTATCCTTCTTTTGTTTCTGTATTTTTTGCTTTTTTACCTCATGAAATTACCATTATTGTGTTTAATGTTTCTGTAATATGCCTTTTCATGGTTGTTGTCGCCGCCCCCCCCCCCTCCCCCCCCCCCCCCCCCCCTTCCTCCTCCTCCACCTCCAACCCAGGAGTTCAGAGATAGCTGACAGTTGGTTTTTCATTTCTCTGAATAGAAGGTTTTATGTAAAAACATTTTGGTACTTAAGGTCTATGGCCTTTTCACATCTCTGTGCATAGCTTGTGTGGGCTGTCTGGTGTAACTGTTGGTGTTGCTCAGCACACATTGCTCTGCTTCTTGTGTTGGATTTTAAAGAAAATGAAGGGGTTCCGTTTTGTGACTAGGTCACCTGTGACTAGTTCTTCTTCTTCTTTTTTTTGGTGTGTTTCAAGCCTTAAAATCTTGCAAAACGATGTCATTCCATTTTTTACCCGTTTGCCATGTCTTATGTCTTCCCAAATTGTCTTTCTACAGTCAAGAATCTGTCCCACAATGTGGACCTGAAAGCAGAGGGTAAGAAGACGGGTGAACTGGGCATCATACTGAATGGCCTGGAGGTCAATATGAGGAATTTCCCCAAGAGGCCGAGGAATGGTAAGCTTTGTGTGACACTTTATGAAGGAGAGTTTACTTTTGGTGCATTTTTCCTGTAGTGTTTTGCACCGTGGCAACTTTATCCTGAAATGAAGTTTATGAATAAATGCTGGTTGGTTATTGGATGTGGTTTACTTCTTCCGCTTCTTTTTGTTATTATCCCAATTTATTCCAGTCAAAAGGTACTACAGGGCTTTTTCTCATGCAGACTTGCCATAAACACCTCCATAAAACTGAAGAGATAATGTATATGCTTTGCCTTTAAAAGTTCACTCTTTTTGTTTGTATTTCTTCTATATATAAATGCGATTGACAATTGAAATTCACAGATATTTCAATTTGATACCAATAGTATTATATTGTCAAAATGTGATATGTGACTTATTTTTTCATATTGTTACACATAAGTTTGTGGTCCCAGGCCTGTGTGGAAACACCAGCATATGTGAGGCAGCGTGGTGGAATCAGGCTCTCGTCAATTTTTGAGCATGTAGAGTTATTGGTATCATCTTAAAGCTTGTTTACTTGTCTTTTATTGGGTGAAAAAAACATCCATTTATCTTGAATACAAGTCGAGATATGTGCGAAAGAAGGAGGTGGGGTTCACCTATTTTCAGAGGTAAAATTAGTGAGAAAATGGCCGCCAAAGATTAGTTATTTCTTTAGCTTAAGAGTCCGTGGTAAATGAAAATTTACATTTCTTGTGCCTTTAATCAACGTTTTTCAGAAAAAATCCACACAGAAATGAGTTGTTTAATAGGCAAAAAAGGTGTTGAGCCAAAAAACAAAAATTCTATTAAAATTCACAAACTTGCGGAAAAATGCTAGTTTCTTCACTTTGATTATTTTGACGAGAGCCTGATTCCACTGCGCTGCCTCACATATCAAATATCTTGGCCACAGTGGCCCTCATGGTCCTGCACAAGCGTGCATGTCTTTCTTATCACCCACATATACCATGCACTCACACATGCACTCACACATACACACACACACACACACACACACACATACACACACACATACACACACACACACACACACACACACACACACACAAACACACACACATACACACACACATACTCATACATACACACATACACACACATATTCACACTCACACACACACACACACACACACACACACACACACACACACACACACACACACACACACAGTGGTTGGTTGGTGGGAGCTCTGCTGTGGTCTGCTCCTTCTTTTCTATGAAACATCTATCATCCTTATCTCTCCTTTTTTGTGTTTGTTACTCTCTTTTAACACCTCTAATCTTCGGCACTGATATGACCTTATTGTGTTGCAAGTGCTGTAAAACTCTTACTATAACTAAAACGAATGCACACACATCCTTGATGAGCATATTGTTCTTTACATTGTGGAGTTGGATAATTTCCTTCTTGTATGAGGTGTGGGCGATTAGAGGGTCGGGTGCTGCAGGCAGGTTACACTTTTCTTTCTCAGTGTTGTTTCCGTCATACCATTTCCATAATCAAACATTCCACTGCTATCACGCCAATGCGCTTTTCTTTACTCGAAGTGGGTGGTTGGCGGGGGTTCTGGTGTGGTTTGCTTCTTCTTTCCTATCAAACATCTATCGTCCTTATCTCCCCTCCTTTTTTATGTTTGCTACTCTCTTGTAACACCTCTAATCTATCTTCTGGCTCTCATATGATCGTATGCAGTTACGAGCGCCGTAAACCCTCTACTAAAACAAAGAAAATCTTTACTCGAATAAAAGGAGAAAACAAAAACAACCCCAATTAATGAATTAAAAACCCCTCCGATTGTCATGTGTTGTTAGGCCCACGCGGAAGCACCACCAGCGTATCGAATGGGTCTGCCGCAGCTGCCTCGACGGCCTCTGCGGCCCAGTCATCTTCTAGTGGCTCCCGTGGCCAGGGCAACGAGGGGAAGAGGCAGGCGCCACGCCCACCACCTGCGAGCAATTCACAAGGAAGGTCCCCACCCCCTGTGCCCCCGCCCCCGAATGTGGGTGGATCCTCGCCTAGGACTGCCGCAGGTGAGTGAGCGTCCTTGTTTAGGCTGAGCTTGGTTTCAGAATATAAGGGCACAGCTGCTGTCCTGTACATGCTCCTTCTTTCCTATTAAAAATCTATCGACTCTATCTTCCCTCTTTCTTTTTTATGTTTGTTACTCTCTTGTAACACCTCTAATCTTCGGCACTTATATGACTTAATTATGTTGCAAGTGCCGTAAAACTTACTAAAACTAAAGTAAAAAACCCAACTGTTTTATACTTTTTTGAGGGTGTGAGTATGGAAGTCTGTTTTCTTAACAGAAAAATCTGTGATATTTGTTTTCTAGCATTGCTCCCCCCCCAGAGTTTCCAAGGGTGAAGAAAAATTCTGAAGCTGCTTGACCAGCTTGGTGAATAAATTGAGAACAAAGCCTAACGTTCAGATGGAGAGAGGTCTTTTGGTGCAGGTTTACTTGGAATAGCTTTTAGTTAAGTTTAGTTTTAGTAGAGGTTTTACGGCGCTCGCAACTGCATAAGGTATTGAATAGCTTTAATTTGTCGAATGCAAAAAAGTGTGTGTTAAGGGTTTGGAGGAGTGTTGCTTGTCTAGTGTCCACCATCTTGACCCACTGAGCGGTTGGAGTCGGTCTTTTACTTCTGAAAATGTAAGGGTATTGTCTCTTGGAGCCCTCGTGTCCAGGACAGACTGTGTGTCACTACAAGAAGAGTCAGGTTAATCGTCATGGTTATAACTGAAATGCCTCAGACTTTTTTTTCTCGTTTTGAACAATCTTTAAAATGTTCAAAATTCATAAGTCAGCTCCTTGACTTAAGCAAATGTGAAAATGACTCATTATGAAACAAATAACAGACGTTTTGACCATAACAATAACTAAGAAAGATAGAAAGAAATAACTGAGCTAATTTTATCCTGCTTTCTGCATAATGTAAAACTTTTACTTTCTGTACCTGTGGTGTGTACAGGTCTCATTTTGTGATGAAAATTAGATTAAGGGGTGGTTTTGTTTTCTAGAGCTCTGGACACCTGGAGATACCTCTACTGTCTTGTTGTTTTGCCTTTGGAGGCCCAAGATGCCCTTTCCCCCTTTCCTAGAGGTGGGCAAAATCGGATAATCTATATTTAGGATGACCGGATAATTCTCAATGAAACATTGTCCGAATTCAGACTCTTAACTCTCTTTCCTGACCTGTTTGCCAAAGTGGGTGCACCCATTCGTTGAAGAAGTGCTAACCCGTATGTCGAAGTGGTTCTAACCCATTTGCCGAAGCGGTTCATGTCATATTTATTATTTGCCGAAGAGGTGCACTAACATAATATTATTATCCGGATTTTGCTGAAGCGACTCATTGCCCAGCCCTACCCTTTCCCCCTTTCCTCCTGCCCTCCTGCTTTGGCCAGGCAACATTTTGGTGTCCCCCCTCTTCTGTTCTGTATGACATGTGAACTCACCTTTGTGCATACTGTTGGGCTATGTTGTAGAGGGTTATGCTTGATTATGGTTGCTCCCCTTAAGTGCATAATGTGCTTCATTCAATTTTAAAAAATATTTTTTTAACCAATATCTCTCAATTCCCACTCAGAAACAAAGTAACAAAAAGACTGGGAGGACATGTGCACCATCTTTTATAATTAAAGATGACAAAATTACACTTCCTCCACTATCTTGCACTGTGAACTTTTTTCCAATGTGTAGACTTTCCTTCTTGGCCAAGAACACAGAGAATTGATCCGTTCTACATACTGTATTTTCTCTACCTCCAGCTCCTGGCTCGACCTCGTCCAACAGCAATGATCCCCCTCCACCTGCCATAGGCCCTCCCCCAGCAGACTCGAATGTCCCGGGTACTGCCAATGCTCAGTCTCCAGGGGGCACTGCTGCTGCCCCGAGCAACGAGCCCCTCCCCCCAGGGTAAGTACGGTTTTTCTTAATGCTTTAAGTTTTTAAAAGTTGGAAAAAAGTCGGGCTCCAAGGCTCCTCTCTTGAAATATATGTGAGGCGTGCTGACAAAATGAGCTACTTCTCGCTATCTACAAATGGAGATATTGACCAAAAATCAATACTAGGGTTCAAATTTGTAGATTTTCTATTGATGCCATATTCTTTAAGTATAATAAGCCTTTTATTATTTCATACCTATAAATTGTAAAAACTTCACCTATAAGCGTGATGTATCTATTTCCATAGGTCTCAAATCTGAGAAGTAACTCATTTTGTCAGCCCCCTTCACATATGTTTGTGTCTTACTTTCAACTACTCAGGACAGGAAATAAGTCAGTGTTGATAATTGATGCTTGTACTGGTCTCGTAATTGTTGGAAGATTGTGGAAGTCTGTGGTTTGTATGAAGAATGGAGGCTGAGATGGTCCTTGCCGTTATGCTTCTTTCCAGTCATTCTACAGTCCTTTGAGATCATAGTTGGATTTAAAAAAAAAAAGAACTGAGAGTTGGTGGAAAAGCACTACTGTTATGTCCTACTTGTGTGTGTGTGTGTGTGTGTGTGTGTGTGTGTGTGTGTGTGTGTGTGTGTGTGTGTGTGTGTGTGTGTGTGTGTGTGTGTGTGTGTGTGTGTGTGTGTGTGTGTGTGCGCGTGTGTGTGTGTGTGTGTACTCGTGGTGGAACACCAAACCAATGTGCCAGGATCTGGACAATAAAGATGTATCTTATCTTATCTTATCTTATCTTACTTCTGATTTTTCTCTGTGTATTTTTTTATTCCATGTCTGCCTGTCTCACTTTTTTCCTTGTCGTAAAGGACCATTATTTTATCAAAGTCTTTCTATTTACGCAAACACAAACACTAATCCAGAAATTAAATTATTGTTTGTATTTGTGTTTTTCTCGTAGATGGGAAATGAGAACTGACCAGCTTGGCAGACCGTACTATGTTGATCACAACACCAGGACAACTACATGGGAGAGACCTCTGCCCTTGCCTAGAGGGTAATAGGATGGTTTAGTCTGTAAAAAGTATTTGTTTGGCCAACTGTCACATAGCTAAAAACCTTTTTCAATGCAGTTTCTTGATCCATTATATCGATTGCATGTGCTTGAAAAACATTTTGTCAACGTCTAAGTGTTGATAAAAAGCAAGAAAATACGCATAATTTAAGTACAATTTTTACTAGCTCGTTTGCTTTCTGGGCTTAAAACTGTTGAACAGCTCGCCAATGATGTACAAAGTCACTGCATGTGGCTGTCCTTGCACTTAGGATTTGTTGGCCACTTTTCATAAGATATTCTGCGTATCTGGTAATGCAATTGGTTGATAACAATAATTTAAAGTAAAAAGTAAAGTTGTTCCCGCTTCAGATCCGGACAATGGGGGTTGCCTTGTTAGTGAGACAACTCCCTGGGCCTTCGGCATATTGTGCTTGGGTGGCCAGTCCCTTTCCACACCGTCTTTACTTCCCCAACTCGAAGTCAGGTACCCATTACTGCTGGGTGAGCTGGAAGGGGCGAAAAAAATCTTGTTTCCGAACCGAGGCTAGAACCTGGACTTTCCGCTTCAGAGACGAGCGCACTAATTTTCGAGTATATGAAACCAAATACGGTATTTGTAGAGGTCCCACCTTATTTTCATGTGCACGGTTATAGATGGCCAAAAGATTTATATTTTGAATTTATGAATAGTTATGACGTAGAAATTTTATTGTAGTTTGTATTTTAGATTGTTAATTAGTAGTAAGGCAGAGTTGCTGTTTTTGAGGATTTATTCTCTATGTAAACAGGTACTTGTCTTAATTTTCTCCTTGTCAATATTGTATTAATCATCGAAAGCTGATTTAATTGAAGTAGTTTGAAAGGTGCAGAGTGTTGAATGATGGGAAGAGTTCACTGTTAAGCTTCTCAACGGATTTTTTTCAACATTATAGTCTTATTTTTTTTTTCACTGTAAAGCTAGTTTGTGAATTATGTAGTCGAAGTTGGTTAAAAAATATTTTGGTGGCCTCTGACTGAAAAGAAATTTTCTGGAAATGTTCTACGTGTAAACATGACATGTTTAAAAGTAATCAAAGTATGTGTTAGTTGTTTCAGGGTTTTTTGGGGGGGGGGGGCTTTTTAAAAAAAAGTCACAGGTTAGGCTCTTTGGGGTCATAATATATATAATTTCCTCTGACTTCCAGGTGGGAGCGTCGTACAGACGTGAGGGGGCGCACCTACTACGTGGACCACAACACCCGCACCACCACCTGGCAGAGACCCAACACGGAGTCGCTCAACAACTACGCCAACTGGCAAGAGTGGCGCGTGGGGCGCACCCTGGAACAGTTTGGTCAGCGCTTCCTCTACCCACAGCAGCAGAGCCCGGTTCAGGACAATGACCCGCTGGGACCTTTGCCAGAAGGATGGGGTGATTTGATTGCGTCTTCTTGCTTTGTTTTAGATCAAGGGAGGGCAGGTCCACCTGACCAGGGGTTCCCTCGTTGCAACCTCGGTTTAAAAGTTTTCTGTTTAGAAATGCAAACTTCCTTTTTGGATTCAACAGGAGTAAAGAATGTGGCTCTGTATAGTTAAAAGTTGGATACTTTAAAAGTGAATATTTCCATAGACCTTTTGGATGTCAAAGCTTAGTTATAAATTGTCCATGTAAAAGTGACATTTCTCACTTTCCAATTATTGGTGGTAATTATTCAGTGGGTTACTATCGGAACAGTCTCTACAAGTGAATTAGTTGTATGAAGTTTCTGACTGTTTGTGGCATCCGTGAGACGGTCATTACAGCAGGGACATGGGCGTAAAGTGGCAAAACTGGGCGGAGTCAGACTAGAAAAGGGACTTGGGGAAGTTTTAAAAAACTGATTTTTATTGTTTTGAGCTATTAGGGGCAGTTTGGAGCACTGGAAATGTCATCAGGACACTGGAAAACTAATCTTATTGTTTCCTTACTGTTTTTGTGTGCAGTTTTTCTGAATATTTCTCTTCTTTCTTTGAAGCTTGGATGCAAGGTTAATTGTATGTAGTTGTCGAGCTGCTTTGTGATTAAGTTTTTTAAAATTACTAGTACAAACTTATATTTGGGTTCTGTGGTCAACACACACAGTATTAGGTTGAAGGCTTGTTCTTAGCTGATTTTGGGTCGCTGATTTAAAAAAATGACTTTAATTCTTTTGTGTCGTGTCAAGTTGTAGCTCTATGAAAAAATAGTATATTTGCAAGTTGATATGACAAAATTCAGTATTTGTCTTACAATATGGCCTATAGTTTTGATTCAAAACCTTGTTTTAATGAATCAGGATGGTATGGTGAACCATTGAATATGTGACCTATCATCCATAAAAAGTAGTTTATCAGAGTAGCTACCCTGATGTCAATGCTGTTGTGCTTTAAACGTTATAAAACACAACTGTTATTTCTTATGTTGTCTGCAAAAATATAGTCCAGTCTTGATCTGTTTTGACTTTCAATCTATGCAGAAAATGCCAAGAAATATTGCACAAGCATTGGTTTGGGTGTAATAAAGACCTTCTTTAAACGCAGTCTGTGAGTAAGGATAAAAATCGAATTTCACTCAGATCGACCTTGTTTTAATCAGGTAGAATTCAATGGTTTTATAAGGAATTGAGTTCTGCTAAAAGAGCTCGCAGATCTTATAGCTTCAAGATTGAAAGAAATTTAACAAACTATTAAAAGAGGAAAGGAGGATAGTTTACCAAAATGATGGCAGATTACTTTTGAAGCGTACAAAGAGAATTTCCAGACTCATTGCACTCCGGACAATCCTGCAAAAGAAAGTTTCTGTCATGAGCTTGTTGCCTCTGATTTAGGAACATGAACTACTTCTTTATGTTGTACCCATTGTCATTGTCAAATTGAGGATTTACTTGATTTATATGAAGAACAAAAAAACTTCCATGTCTCTCATTTTTTCTGTTTTCCTGCTCTGAACGAGGTTGGTGTTTGTTATCCTGAGGGCTAATTCATTGCATACTGCACAAACAGTAGTCATGCCATAGATAAAGCAAAAATGGTTTCATTTTTTTTATTCAGCGACTATCTTTTTCCATAAATCTTGAATCCGAGAAGTAACTCATTTTGTCAGCGCACTTCACTTATTATACCTGGTGATTTTCTCTCTCTCTCTCTTTGGCTGTCTGTTCCCCCCCCCCCCCCCCCCCCCCACACACACACATGAGGAAGTGCAAAATATTTTGCAACATTGCATGGTGAAGTTGGCCTTTTATCAGTTTGAATTTTTATATTTTATACAACAAATGTCATTTTGTTCTACCAGAGAAACGCGTAGACAGCAACAACCGAGTGTACTTTGTGAATCACCGCAACAGGACGACTCAGTGGGAGGATCCCAGAACTCAAGGGTAAGTCTGGCAGAATTATTCATCTCAGAGCCCTTTTGGTTGTGAGGCTCGTATTGCTCAGGAAATAGGTTTCGTAATGGTACGGTGCTTAAGTTGATTTTTCTGTTAAGATTGACATTTTCTTTATATTATGTTATAATTGTTTCAATATTTGTCTTCCATGATAGCTGTTTCTCTTACGTTCTGGCTATGTTTATCGCTGAACGAATAATTATGAAACATGCTCACAAACACAAGACCTCTATGAGAATGAGTAGTAACGGAAGTTGTTTATTTATTACCAGAGGGTCACGTTACAACATAGATGCGTCTCAGTATAGTTGGCCAATTAGGTCCAAGCTCTTGATGTACACTCATGACAGTTTCCTGTATATTGTAATGTACGGAGTCATGTCATCATCATCAATGCCTTCCATCCCTGGCAGGGAATAGGCCACATACAAGCTCTTTCCATTTGTCTCTGTCCTAGGCCGTCCTTCCAAGCTCGTTCCAAGTGAGCTTCATCTCTCTCATGTCCCTTTCCACACATCTCCTCCATGTTTCCCATAGCCTACCCCTGCCTCCTGCTCCCTGTGGGTTCCTCTGCAGCGACTGTCTTTTGATGTTTCCGCTGGGAAACTCATGTGGTTGTCTTTATTTGTCATCAAAATTATTATCATCATCGTCACCGTCGTCGTCATGGTTATCATTATTGTTAATGTTATGATGATGATCTTCATCGTCGGCGTCGTACTGTGACGAAAAGATGAAAATTAGTTGGGTTTTTTTTTAGATGTCGGAGCGGTTTACGAATGATTGTAATGAATAGACTTTGGTATATTGTCGTCTATCCCAGAATTATGCAAGAAGATCCTCTCCCAGAGGGCTGGGAGATGCGATATACGGCAGAGGGTGTTCGGTACTTTGTTGACCACAACACCAGAACAACAACATTCCAAGACCCTCGAGGAGGACCCCAGAAAGGGTAGGTTGAAAATCAAAAGCCAACTGTAAAGTATTTTAAGTTAAACAGAGATGCCTTACTGTTACCAGTTTTATTTACCTTTGATTTTTTTTATCACCCCTTTACAATGTCACTTAGAAACAGGGGGGGGGGAAGGGATGCATGTGCATGTTGACCCTTGCTAAATTTCAAATGACTAATGACAGGGCTCCAAATGATCACATGGGGATTTGTAAGTCACATACATTTGAAGAGGATGTGTGTAGAAATTGCTGATCTCCAGGCACAGCTGTTTTGGATACTCAGGAGTAGTACATTTATAATTTGTTAATTTGTACTGAACATAGAACTGTGTAATTTCGGGACACTATGGAAGAGGGATGGACCTCTTACTTCGTGAAGTTGAGAGAATCCAACTCCTTGTAGTTTTTGAAACATGTTATGAGAAGGTTTCTGACACAGGGAATACTGGCCAATGAAGATGTGTCTATCTAGAAATGGCACTGTTATTGTCCGAAAAATAGACTTGCCAGTGATGACATAAATTTGTGCCCCCGGGAATGGACTCGATCAGCATTGCTCACAGTATGCTTCTCTTCACCAAAGCTAATATAAAAAGGTAGTGGCTGATGGGCATTCAGGTGTAGTCTATTCCGTCTTCTTCTTTTCAGCATCTTTGGCCCTTATGGTGACATGAGGTAAATGCGCGCTCATATGACCTTATGCAGTTGCGAGCGCCGTAAAACCCCATACTGAACTAAAACTGAGGCTGTAATTGTACTGGCTCATTGTTAACCAAGCCTTGATTATGTTTTACTCTTTATTTCAGTCCCAAAGGTGCTTTTGGGGTGCCAATTCAGTATGAGAGAAGTTTCCGGTGGAAACTGGGTCAGTTTAGATACCTGTGCCACTCAAACGCATTGCCAGGTCATGTGAAGATTACAGTGTCCAGGGACAACCTGTTTGAGGACTCATTTGCTCAGGTCAGTGGTGCTGTTAATGTATCTAAGTGCGGGT